CTTTGGTTTCGTTTTCGATTTTTTTTTTATTTTTTCTTAGTCTCGCTTATGGACTCAACTGGTAAAAGTTGCTAGATTCGTTATAGCAATTAACCAGCAGTCGATTCGAATGCGAATGCGAATTTAGCTGGCCGCACAGGCATCGATTTTGGCCCAATCTTGAGATTGCAATGTGATTTAGCCGATGCGATGCGAATCGTGGCGCAGTGTGACGGGTTCATTGAAACCTTGCTGGCCACTGCTAGAGGTCTTTATCGGCAATGCGGCATAAACTTGAATTGCACTGCCAAGTTGCAGTGGAAAGTTGCAGCCAGCCGCAGTCAGATCAATGCCCCGTGTAGATCACTTAAATCAAACGCTTAACTACGTTTTTTTTTTGTTTTCAGGAATTTGTATTTGCCAAGGAAGCGAAACTTGCAAAAATACTTTAAATAGTTTCTGGTAGCTATTTTTTTAGCTTCCTCCATTTCTCATATCTGGGTTAACGCACATAACATTTGGCAATAATATTATTTAGATCCATTTGGAACCTACGCTCACAAGTTTTTTATATTATTTTTCTGTTTTTTTTTGGTATCCACACATAACAATCGCTCGTCTGGGGTTACCCAACTGATTGCATAATGTACGCAATTGTTTAATTTGAAACTCATTTATTATGGTTTATTTTGTTTGCAGGGGAAGCTGAAAAAGTCAAATCATTGATCAGATTACGCGCTGAACTCTCACCACTCTTCACGGGCAAGAGAAACGCCTCGAAATATGCCTGGGCGTAAGTAGCGAATACTCGATTCGAAACACCAACGCCTAATCTGCGATTATGTCGCTTCCATGTCATTTACCGATTTCCGAAATTCCCTTTCATTTGCAGCGTCGTCGAACGTGAGCTTAATGTGCCGCTGCCGCTGTCGAAGATCATCAAGAAATGGAACAATCTGCTGCAGGAGTACAAGGCCATCAAAATGTCCGAGGAGCCGAAGCGACGGGAATGGCCGTTCTTCACACTGATGGACGTGTATTTCAGCGACCAGGTGAACGATCCCTCGTTGCGCCTGTTCTCGTCCACCAAGACACTCAAGGAGACACTGGACGACAGCGTCTTCGAGGATGATCCGATCATTGCATCGGCCATTGCGGCAGCCACCAGCGGCGCCTACATGGAAATCGATGAGCTGATCAGGCGGCAGAAGGAGCGCGCCGCCCTCGCTGCCGAGCGCAAATTGGCAGCAGCGGCCAGCGGCGCTAGCGGCGACTATAAATACGATCTAAAGCCAATGCTGGCCAACAACAATAGCGGCAACAGGTTCAACAGCAACAGCGAGATGGTAAAGCTCTCCAAGAGCGTTGACGATCTGTCCATGCAGCAGTACAAGATTAAGCAGGAGCTGATGCGGCATCGGGAACAGGAACAGCAGGAGAACATGGTCAAGATCAAGCAGCATGCGCGCCAGCAGCAGCAACAGCAGCAGCAGCAGCAGCAGCAACAGCAACAGCAACAGCAACAACAGCAGCAACAGCAGCAGCAACATCACCAGGCCCAACAGCAGCAACAGCAGCGTTTCATGAGCCACCAGCCGTCACTTTCGCCGCATCCGCATCGCCTGTCCTCGTCCTCGACACCGCCAGGCTTGCAGCATGCGCTGCAGCAGCAGCAGCAGCATCTGTTGCAGCAGCAACAGCAGCATTTACAGCAGCATCTGCAACAGCAGCAGCAACAGGCTCAGCAGCAGCTACAGCAGCAGCAACAACAGCATCATCATCAGATCGCACACCCACATCAGCCACCCACGCCGCGTCCCTGTTCGCCGCATACCACCGCTCAGCAGATCCACATCACGGCCACACAACACCAGGCAGCCCAACAGCAGCTGCAGCAGCAGCAGCAGCAGCAACAGCAGCAGCAACAGAAGCAACAGCCCTACACCGATCCCAATACCATAGATCAGTACCTGCTGTCGTGGAACAATTTCCATGGCAACATGTGCCGCGGCTTTCACTCTCTGCAGAAGGACGAGAAGATGGTCGATGTAACCATCGCAGCAGGCGGAAAAATATTTAAGGCCCACAAACTGGTAAACAGGCGGCTTACTTGACGGAACCGTTCCACTAACAGTTGTCTCCTATTTTTGTTCTGCTTCTCTCTTTCCAGGTGCTGTCCGTTTGCAGTCCGTATTTCCAGCAGATCTTCCTAGAGAATCCATCCAGTCATCCCATACTGCTGATGGCCGACGTTGAGGCCAGCCACATGGCCGGCTTGCTCGATTTTATGTACAGCGGCCAGGTGAACGTCAAGTATGAGGATTTGCCCGTGTTTCTCAAGGTCGCCGAGGCCATGAAAATCAAGGGGCTACACACAGAGGTATACAAAGACAGGAGCACCGCCAATTAGGATTCCCTTAAGCACCTAATTTCTTTGCTTCCAGAAAAACTTGGACAGCGATGCCAGCGACATCAGCTCGCCGCTGGAGAGTGATGGCACCAAGTGCCGCTACGAGCGTGGAACGCACAGCGTCAACATAACTAGTGGGCATGCCGCCGGCTATGGACCAACAGCCCTGGAGCCATCGGCTCTGAATGGGCCCAATCGATGCGCCACGCCTCTATCGCTGGCCAGTCCGGGCGGCGGTCAAGCACAGGCGCAGGCACAGGCACAGGCACAGGCACAGGCGCAGGCACAGGCACAGGGCTATACTGGCTTCCGTGAACACATTAAGTCGAAGGCGACGTTGGCCGAGAGCTTTATAAAGAATCTCAATCGCAACAATAACAACAACAGCAACAGCGCCAACAACAACAACTACAACAACAATAACAATAATAACAACAACAATGTGAGCAACTCGAATCTGGCAGAGGCGGAAAGCAACTCCTATGCAATCCTGCAAGCGAACAGCAAAAAGATGCTCGACTCGGCACGTAAACAACACAAGTACCTGGCCAAGCGCAAGATCCTGATGCACTATAACACAGAGCTGGGTGGCGAGAAGCGCTTGAAGGAGATGGATCGGGAGCGATATCCAAGTGCTGAGCGAAATGACGACGCCCTGAACAACAATCACGCATATGCCCACAGCCAGGATATTATGGAGCCCATCACAACGATTGTGCCACGAACGCCGGAACCACAGCCACCGCCAGCTACGCACAACAATAACTTTAAGATACGGCTCGTGGAGAATCATCATCTGACCAATAGCAACAACAGCGGCAGCAACAGTTCCAGGAATAATAACAACAACAACAACAACAACAACAATGGAGAGCCTGATGATGAGGAAGCCTTGAATCTGGTACAAACGCCCAATGTCAATGGCAATCGGGCACGCCCACAAACCCCAACACCTCCGCCCGATATTCAGCTGGTGAAGCATGAAGTGGAGTTTGAGGCGTCGCCAGGTGAAGCCACAAGCAACAACAACAACAATGGACACGATGAAGATCTCTCCGCCTACGAGCGTAAATACGATGACAACAACAACAATCGCGGCCTGGACATGGAAACCGATTCGAACAACAACAGCAACAAGGGCAACACCGAGACGAACAACAACAATGGAGCCGGTGCCGGAGCCGGATTGGCACTGGCGCTGGGCAAGCACAAGCTGTTAAATGCGATCAATCGAAACCTGGAACTGGAGCAACAGCAACAGCAACATGTTACCGACCGTGAACGCGCAGATGCAACTGAACATGGCGGCAGCGGCAACAACAACAACAACAACAACAACAGCAATGGTGAGCACGACAACGATGACAACAACAACAACAATCATAGCCAGCACCTGGACCTGAGTACCATCAAGAATATAGCCACTGCGGAGATATTGTGTGGCCTAAAGAGCAAGGTGCTCAAGCTGGAGGAGGAGCAGCGCGAGCGGGAGCGCGAACGGGAGCGAGAGAGGGAGGCCTTGCGCAGCCTGAGCGAGATTAAAAATGCCGATTGATGCGACGGGGATTTGGGCGGGGCTTAAATATATGAAAATATGCATTTGATTAAATTAGAGAGGATTTATAGTACATATAGCGAATCATCTATGTACGCTACACATAGTTATTTATTATACCTTTTAATATCGTTAATGTAATTCTAATGAACGGACTCACACACACACACACACACACACAGACGAACACACTCTCTGACAGATACACACGCATACACAAACAGGAGCCAAGGCTCTCCCTTTCATTTGGTTAGTAGGTAGGCCTAGCATCTCTCCAGAACTCAAGATCAAGATCCCCTAGCTCTTAAGATACTCATAACATTGTCTCGTACGATTTTCGTACTTACTTATATACATACATACTTATACTAACAAGAATTCACGAAATGAATGAAATGGTAAAACATATTTAATATTAGCATTTGGAAATTGGCCCTGTTGCAATAAATTTTAAGCTCTTTGTAAACAATAATATATGATACCATATACGATGTTTGTGTTTTGTACATACAAAACATGTCCTGATTACAGGTTTATTTAGAACAACACCTGATTTGATTAATTGCCAACAACTTTTGCAATATGTATTTTTATGATTATTAAATGTATCTCAACACCAATCATGCATACATACACACACACACACACATACATTCGCATACGCATACTATGAAATTACATACATTCATACACACCTACATATAATAATGACATTCGGCACTGTTCAATCATGCCATGAACAAAAAAACAAAACAAAAAAAAAAAAAAAAAGACAAAAGTAGATATATATGCATCTCGTTTTTAGTTTTAACTTGCCAGTCCTTTCGATTGATGCGCGCTGGTTCAATGTTCAGCTGCTTCGATGCGTAACGTAACCCTGGAATGGTTCCGGAACTTGTTAATTGTTTTACATACTGATGCGGCTGGAACCTAACCTCATATATGCAAGACAAACCACCCTATTTTACACACTCTGAACAACAACCCGCAAATTTGTTATTTTACATCAATTATGCACAGTGTAATTCGTACAATATTTATTAACATTGTTTACATTTACAACATTCGTGTAGAATTTCATGCTGTTGAACATTTTTTTTTGTGTAAACGGATAAATGAAATAAAGAAACTGACACATTCGAATTCCAAGGCGTTTTGCATTTGACCGTTAACTCAGGCTGTTATAGCGCACAGGGTGTTCCAAATGCAAACATGTACGTTAACAGTGACAACAACAGCAGCGGCAGTTTACAGTGGCAGGATATGTCAAGGGCCGCTCACTTTCTATCTCGCTGTCTCGCTCAAACGCTCTCTTGCTTTGAATGTGTAACCATATACATAGTGGTGTGTGCGTGTATGTGTATGAGTATTGGAAGAAACAAACACGGAATACATTTTGTGTATTTTCGGTGGTTGACGGATGGGGGCGCGCCTTTTTTGCCCTTTTTTCGCGCGCGCATCCACCGCCTGTAACCGAAAACTATACGAAAACACGAAGTAACTGTAAGCCGAACCGGCCGAAGCCGGCACGAAGTCCTGCCCAAACGGCACACACACACACACACACACACACACATGCACAACGAAGAAAACGAACGAAATGGAAGGCAGCTAGCGACTAACAGAGCCAGCTAACAGACAGCAGTTGGTCGTCCGTTCTGTTCTCTGTGTGAGGTTGTAAAAAGGCGAAAACGTCACGAGAAAAACCGGTTAATAAATTATTTGCCAATTTAATGGTAAATTCACAATAAATAAATGTGAATTAATATGCTAAAAATCGTACACAAGCCATGGACCAAATAAATGTGCATAAAAAATACATTTGATATAGTTAAACAAGTGAAAAAAAAAAAACTAAAGTGAAAGCGACGTTGAAAATTTTACAGAATATTGCGTTTGTTGCGTTTTTTCATACACTACCCACCCCGCACACCCCTCTTCATCGTTTCATTCTTCAGAGTTAGCGGCCATTTCGAAACTGCGCAAAAAAAAAAAATAACATCTAATTGTATTTAGATGTGTACCACACTTCGATATACACATTTGGACATACATTTGGCCAGCTCTGGATCAGGAAAGCCCCATGCAGTGGGCATACAATATGCGTTGCCCAGAGGATAGAGAAAATGCAATTAGCCAGGACAGCACACCCGGTATGGATATATGAGAAAATAGTATTTTGGATTTTCAAGGATTCCCACAATTGAAGGCAGATAATTTCGCGTACGACATGAAATGCGTAGCGGCGTTGGGCGGAACACGGAAAGTGGGCGCAAAGCAGAAGCTGAAGCAAAGACAACGACCAGGACGAATACGCCGCGGCCGTCGCCCCGAAACAGGAACAAAGCAGCAGCAGCAGCAGCGGCAACGGCAGCGGCAGTAACAACAAAAAGGATACGAGCCATAAATGAATTTCACGTATTTCGGTATACACACGACAAATGCCGACCAGGACAACGACGACGACGACGATGATGATGATGTTGATGATGATAATGATGTTGTTCCTGCCGCTGGAAATAGGGTGGGTGGCAAGCCCGACGTCTGCGACGGTAGTAATACACACACACACGCACACACGCACACAAACCAACAAGCATACACACCCATACAAGGCAGCTGGTGGGTAGAGAAAGAGTACAAACACAGGACAGAGCGAAAGAGAGCGAGAGAGAGCTAGAGAGAGCAAGTCGCCGGGTACGTGCCAAATAAGGGATGGTCCGTCATTTCGTCGGTTTTTCACAACTTATGTGTACATATGTGTCCATATACATACATACATACATACATACAAACACATATATGTACATATTAATGCTCAATTCGGTTGCATGGGACTGCAGCAGCGGCGGCAGCAGCGACAGCGACAGCGACAGCAGCGGAGCCAGCAACAACAGTTAGCATACAAATCAATAAGCCGACTGGGCAACACCCTATAAACACATACACACACAAGTATATACATACATTATCGTATATGTTTGATATGCTTAAAACTACAAATGATGAAAATTGCCACAAGATAAGATACTGGCTGCCTTAATATATATATATATATATATATATTGAATACAAACTTAAGAAAATGTTGCAGCAAATTGAAATGCCTCAATTAGTGGCTAACAATATGAAATTCGTATATCTTTCGTAACGCTCCCTAAACATGAACAAAATGCGAATGGTGGTTGTTGTTGTTGCTGCCGCTGAATACTAGGCAAAGGGCGCGCGCTAGGGGTGTATGTATGTATATGAACACGCTCAACACACACACACACACACACACACACACACCCGCTCGCAACTCACACATGCGTACACAAACGCGTACGTAAATGGTGCAGACAACAGTTCACAGTTAGACTGACTGGCAGACATTTAAGCTGCGGCTGAGGGCGGTGGTCACCATCGCCGTCGTCGTCGCAGTCGCAGTCGCAGTCGCAGTCGTTGACAGCGTTGCCATTTTGCTGTTTAGCTATGCACACATACGCACATACAAAGTGTGTACGGCATGCAACATGCAGCAGATTTTTGGCTACTTAACCTACAAAGCGTAAAAGTAATGCGTAAGCAAGTGCCGGGACATGCTTAAATTAGTAAAATTAGCGGCTTACCGCAGATGCCAAACATGCATACACACACACACACACACACACACACGCACATACACGTACAAATTGAAAGCCATTTAAGTCTATGTACTTAAACGTTACGCCCAAAAAGCGTTACGTCGTCCAGATTGCCGGTTAACGTCTTGGTTACGTGAATTTATAAGAGTTCGAGTGCGTGCGTGCCTGTGTGTGTGTGTGTGTGTGTGCGCGTGTGTGTGTACATGTCTTACTTTCAATGTCATCAAAAAGGGCTGAGAATGATATATCTGCAATTGAATCGTATCACAGCCAGCTTTGATGGGCATTGCAAAGGGCAACGTAGCAGAAAAGTAACAAATAACGCCATAAACAGGACTACAACAAACCCAACAAGTGTTTGCATCTTATTACGGTGATAGATAACGTCGCTTCGATACGTAAAGACCAACCCACTCAATTCTTGCGTAACTCTTCAAGGGGTTGTGAAATGTTGCCGTTATCAAGTCATATCACAGCCATTTTGATGAGTTTCGTGCGAATTGCTTAAATTCATTGCCCTCGTCGGCAGAATGGGCTGGCAAGGACGATTATCGTTTTTGCATTGCAATTTTCTTATACCATGTCGTTAAAATGCCTGTGACCTTATGTATTTTATATCATATCACAGCCATTTTGACGAGTTTGGGTAAAGAAATCTCAACAGAGCACACATAATGTGTGCGACGTGTACATGCTCCTCTTATCTCTTGCAGATCCTGCGGCTGGATGTCATGCCTTTGCGTTGAACGCTAATAAATACACAAGATATTTAGATGTTTTGTTTTTGTGTTTTTTTTTGTGGTTTTTGTTTTTTTGTTTTTTTTTATTTTTATTTTTTATTTAATTAATAATTATTATTTTCTCTTTCTTTTCATTTTCATTTAAGGAAACTTTACAAAACAAAACAGGACCACAACAGATGCAAATATTGATCATACTGAACAGAATCGAACTGATTGATGACCGGCAAAGGATTAAGACGTTTTCTTTGAAGGACAACGGAGGCACTAAAACCCATAAACCTGATTCAGACTTGCGCGCGCTTGCAAATGTTGTTGTTCAAACAATGCAAAAAAAAAAAAAAAACAAACCAATCAGAAAATAAACAATAAAAATACATTTCAGTTTAAATCGCGTGTTCTTACGAATTTTTTTTTTTTTTTTTTTAGAATTTTGATTGTGAATGTAGAAGTCCAAACAAAATTAAATTTCAACAAAATTAATCAGTTTCTACAACAAAGTTCAAAATAAAATATCGACTCTTCAAATTCACATTCGTCGCTCTACTTTTCATTTTTTTATTTCAGCGAACCAAGCAGAACTTGTGTTGGGTTTTCAAAGTGGAATTTGTTCTGGAGCATATCCCACGATCAAACATAATATAGATGTAAGATATTATTAGAGTGTTTTCAACATATTGCTTGGATTTATGGAAAATATTCGTTGGAAATTTGGAATATTAATTTGTCCGCGGGTCATCCATTGCTTTTGTTTGTCTATGTGAGCTGTTGCTCCACTGCTTGAAGTTTGCGTGTGTAAGTTTATCTGTGTGTGTGTGTGTGTGTGTTGATCTGAAGCACGTCAAAGCTCATCAAATTATATATATTTATATCTATATATATACGCATATATATATATATGTATAGCAATAGTACCGAAGTGAATTCAAGAGTTACGCTTTAAGCAATTTTACAAAAATTCATATTCATTGGTTTTTTCTTTTTTAATTGGGCTTCACGTGTTTTCCTCAGTTCAATTTTTTGATTTGATTCTTTTTCTTTTTGTTTAACAGCACAATTTCAATCAATTGGGGTTCTTTTTGATTTTTGGGACACGGTACAGGCAACTCGATACACAAAACAAGTCATTAGAGAGATTGGATATACAGAAATCAGTAATGCCATCGGATAACAACTTTTGAGATGTTCTGAAATCAACGTTCTTCTTGCTGATTTTTTTTTTTTTTTTTTTTTGGCTTTCGAGCGCTTTAGATAAATTCACTAGTTTCCCTTCCTTTTTTTTTGTTTTTGTTAATTATATTTTATAATTTTCTAGTTGTTGTTTGTGTTGGTGTTTCTCTTGCGATGTGTATAAGTATGATGGATGCTGGATGCAGGATGTAGCGCATTATCGCACCTGATGATAGACATTACGAATGGCTTGGCGAGGTGAATACAACTGATCGGAGCCCAATCTGTCCAGGCAATGCTCAAGAATCATCAGTGTGGTTGTTGATGGCGATGCAGAGATGTTTCTATGCGCATATGTGTGTGTGCGTGTATGTGTCTGTGTATGCTTGTGTTTGTGTGTGTGTGTGTGAGAGTATATCTGAGTGTGGTGTGTTGCTGTGCATGTTGGGCGTGGGGCGGAAAGGGGCTATGAGATTTTGACGCTGTTGATGTGGGTTCCACTGTGACGTCAGCCGCAAATGTTTCCATCGAGAACGTACAGCTTACTGCGTGGTATGCTGCATTACAATCTGAAACTGTTGATTTTGCGGCGGATGCTGCGGCGTTGACGTCTGGAAGTAGGGACTGGGCATGATCTGCGGGGGATGTACGCACATTAGGTGGTATGCCGCCTGTGGTTGTCCTTGGGTTGCGAATGTGGGCTGAGGTCCCCCGCCGGCAGGGGAGGGCTGTGGTGGCGGATGGAAGGCCTGATGCGGCTGACCCGGTGATGGCGTCGTCGATGGCGTCGTCTGTGCCAAGAACTGTAACTGTTGCGGCTGCTCCGGATACACACGCATCGGCATCGGGCCATATTGTGGTTGGAAATGTGGTGGATGCGGTGTATGCTGGTATTGAATGAATTGTGGTAACGGTGCCGTTGCCATCAACGGCTGTCCTGTTGCCGCTGTGGCTGACACATGCATTTGTGATCCACCCATTTGACCTAAATGATAACAACAACAACATTGATTACTCACATCTATCTATGTCTATACCTGCTACTCTACTTACCATAATTATTACGACGCATGCGCGGCGCCTGCCCGCCCGGATGTGTCGGTGCCTGGAATGCATGCGGCTGCTGCACCATGTAGATCGGTTGGTTGGCCGCCGCCATATGGGCGCCCGTGGTCGTGAAGATTGTCTGCATGGGCACCGGAGTTTGTGGCGTATGTGGCCGCGATGGATTGGGTGTACTGGGTCCGCGCGGCGTAAATGGCTTGGCTGATGGATTCAGCACATGTGGTTTCTTTACCACAGGCGTGGCGCCGCTGGTAGCGGTGCTGCTGCCTGTGCCGCCAGCGGCTGTGGCCGTGGCGCTGCTTGTAGCACTGGCCACTGGTGTGGACTTATCTGAACCAGTGCCGGTACCACCTGTGTTGGCCGTTGTGGGCGTGTTGGCAATACCAGTGGGCGTGGTGCTGCTACTGCTGCTACCAGCCCCCACACCAATGTTGGGTGCTGGCGATGCGTCCGGCTTTGGAGTGGCCTGCAAGGGCGGAGGCGCTTGCTGTTCCATTATAGCTGGTGAGGTTATCACCACGGGCGAAGTCTGCGGCTGTTGTATGCTCGAGGGAGGCACCACAGTCATAACTTGATATATGGGCTGCGGTGGTTGGCTTGGCTCCTGGACCAGCTGCACCGGCTGTTGTTGTTGTTGCTGCTGTTGTTGCTGCTGCTGTTGCTGCTGCTGTTGCTGCTGTTGTTGTTGCTGCTGTTGTTGCTGCTGCTGTTGCTGCTGCTGTTGTTGCTGTGTGGGCTGTGTCTGAGGCTGCCCCTGATGCTGTTGCTGCTTGGACACATGCTGGTGCTGACTGTCGGCAACCAGCTGCTGCTGCTGTTGCGACGGTGGCGCCTTTTGTTGCATGTGTTGGGCATGTTGCTGTTGTGGTGGCGGCTGCTGCTGCTGAGAAACATAATGTTGTTGTGGTGGCAGCTGCTGATGATGAAGCGGCGGTACGTGCACATGTTGCATGACCATTTGCGACTGTTGTTGTTGTTGTTGTTGCTGCTGCTGCTGCTGCGGCGGTGATACCGATTGCTGCAAGCCACCACGTTGCAGATTATGTTGCTGTTGTTGTTGCTGTGGCGGCGAATTGTTGCTAACCAGATGAAAGTTCTGACCAAACTGACGCAAATCCTGTGTTTGATTATCGCGCGAGCGTACTTGACGTTGCTGTTGCGGCTGACTCTGGTGCTGTTGCTGTGCCTGCTGCTGTTGTGGTTGTTGCTGTTGTTGCGGCTGCTGCTGCTGCTGCTGGCCACCAGTCTGCAGTGGCGGCGAGTTACTGTTGTGGCCACCATGAACATGGCCACCGTGCATGGGCTTACCCAGCGGTTGCGTATCACCGCCATAATTGAGCGAGGAGCTGCTCTGAGAGCCCTGGTACTGGCGCATCTGGCGCTGAGGCAACGGCTTGCCCGTATTGGAGCCAGATTCGCCGCCGTTCAATTTGGACGCTCCGCTTATATGCCCTTGGTTGCGGTATTGATTGGAGCTGTTGTCGTGAAAGTTGTTAAAATTATTTGAATTTTGTGAATTCCTATGTGACTTAGCATATGGAAAGAGATCACTTACCCGTGTATGACCTGTGAGTTGCTCTGGTAGGAGAACTGATTCTGTATGCCCATTGATGAGCCACCACTCTTGTTGCCCACATTGTTGGTGTTATTGCCTTGTGGCACATTTGATGTGTTGCCGGCGCCGACGTTGTTGGGCGGATTGCCGCGCAATATTTTGCCGCCTTGCGTCACAGGTTTATTGCGTTTTATCATTGAGCCCCCGCCGCCATATTTGCTGCCGGCTCCCGTATCTGACGGATTACCAGACGCCGAGGATGGGCCCGGATTTTTCAAACTGCCAGCCAGTATTAGCACTGCTTGCGATTGTGTTGCACCGCCCTGGCCCATGCCCTGCTGACCCATCATTACCGAATCGCGATTATCACGATCGCGTGATCCGGCCACCGTTGAAGATTGCGAGGACATGACAGCATGCGATCCAGGCGGCCCATTGTTGCTGCGCGTCTGTTTGGTGATGTAACGATCGCTGCTCATTGTCTCACGCAGCTGGTAGTCACCAGGGCCGCCACCACGTGGCTTATTGCCGCGATCTCGTTCACGTTCCCGCTCACGTTCGCGTTCCCGCTCACGTTCGCGCTCTTCACGCTCCCGTTCGATGCGCTCACGCTCGCGCTCTTGTTCATGATCTGGCGCTGGTCTCTCGACGGCAGCGAAAAGAGTTTCTTCATCACCATTTTCTAAATCCAAACGCTCCCGGCATGTGGGATTGTTCTCAATCTCTGCCGCCAATTTCTCAGCCTTGGCCTCGGCCTCCTTGAACTCTAACGAATCGCCCTTATCCAGGGGCACCGTGTACGATGACAGCGAATCATCGAACGTTGACGTGACACCAAACTGATTCTCATTCTTGCGGAACATCTCATTTGCATCCCAACCATTGGCGGCGCCATCCAATTCAATTTCAATGTCGCCATTGGCACCAGAGTCCCATGGCTCAAGCTCCTTTTCGTCGAAGCGTGTGCCTGTCAAGAGAACAACAACAAGTCAATTAGTCAATCAATAATGTTACACATAGATGAACATGATTCAAGTTACCGTTGCACTTGTCGGATATGACGCCGTCGGTCTTAAATGCGCCCGTAGTCGCGTATTGCGAATCAAAATCCTTAGCTATTACGGTTACCACGGTGTCCGCCGGGAATATGATGTGTTTGGGAACTGTTTTGCCCTCATCGGGCTGATTTTTTGCTTTAATGCACGCCGGCAGCTCCAGTGCGATGTCAAAATTGCCCGAAAATGTACGGAATACGCCCTCATAAATATTACCCGAACGCAGGCGAACCTCCACAACGCTGCCGACCAGCGCCGTTGCCGAGTGCATGAAAAAGGTGTTGTTATAGACGCCCTGCGCCAGCGAACGTCCAACTCCGCCGCCGCCACTGCCGCTACCGACGCCGCCCGCCTTGTTGTTCGCTTGCCGTAGACTGTTGTCGTTGGCGTTGTATCTGCAAGGGAAACAGCAAATGGAGCAATTAGTACGACTAACCATTTAAGCAGACACCCTTCCTCCCCACCTCACCCACCCACCCAAATTTCCTCAAACCAGCTCGG